ACCTGGTCAAGGTCACTCCTAATTCTAGTACCCTCCCTCCTCTAGGATACAGGATAAACCAACTAGTTCCCATTTATCCTGTCTCTTTTCTTCCCAGTGCGCAGCGCAGTGCCTGGCACATAGTAGGTACCTAATAAAGGACAGCTTAATCATTTACTAATGTGCTTAATAAATTTTGACTGACAGGGCCAGGGTTGAAACTGAAGGCTGCAAAGGCAGGAAGCCATTTATATGGTGCTATAAAGTTTACAAAACACTTTACAAGTGTTAACTCATGTGATCCTTCTCTTAAGGATTAAGGGAAGCAAAGGATCTGATAACAGGAGTTTATGGATCATGGATTAGGAACCCAGGCTAGGAGACTAGAGACCGGAGAGCCAAGGATTGAGCCAGGCTGACTGGTTTCAAGCAACAGGGCATCAAAAACCCAGGCCATAGAGACCTGTCAAATGCAGCCTAGTGTCTAAGTAATAGTTGCAGGGCACAAGCAGTAAGCCTAGGAACTTGATCCTGAGGCACCTTCCAGGCCTCCTGCCCAGTGCCAGGGCTGGTGGCAGGGTGTGAGGAGGCCTCAGCTTGCAGACAAGAAGAAGCGCTGGAGGATCAGGTTGCCTTCTTCGGTAAATTTCAAGCTTACAGCCTCAGCTGTCATAGTAGAGTCCCAGGGTCCTCAGCCAAACCATCTCATTGTTTAGAGAAGCAGTGTGGCACGATGGATCTCAAGTCAGCGAAATGGGATTCCAACCCTGCCTCTCTCACTATCTCTGGGACCTTGAACAAGTCTCAGAATCTCTCTGAGCCTCAGTTTCCTTATGGATAAAGTGATGAACTAGACAGCCCCTAAGATCCCTTCCAGTCCAAGACTGTGATCCTATGATTCCCAACCATTGGGCTTCACGTTTGGATGGGTGAGAAGGTTGGACAGGACAATGAAAATTTAGCACAGGTGACTTGTGGAGGTTGGATAAAGGTTTCAGAATTAGGGGTCCTCCAGGCTTTGAGTGGCTCCCCTATCCAAATTATCTTGTATATACTTATAGGTGTCCACTTTGTTTCCTTTGATAAAATGTAATTGCACTGACTCTGAGGACAGCGATGGCCAGTTTCATCTTTGGTTTTATATCCCCAGCTCATTTCTCCTGTTATGTGCTGAGGGGACAGCAGGGTGGTGCAGTGGATAGAGCACTGGATAGACCACTGGGCCTGGCCCACAGGAGGTGCTTGAGAAATGCTTGTTGATTAATTAATTGATGGGGAGAAAACATAATCCTCCAAGAGATCGATATAATACCGTAACTGAAAACAAACTGTTTCTATCTCTGTATAAAGAAGCAGCAGCCAGACAGCTGAACTGATCTCTATTCCATTCCAGTGACCATTCCCATACATCTCTGGAAAAGGTAAAATTTCCTCTAAACTATTAAGAGGCATTAAGGACATTGGTTTATGTCCTTTGGGGTGACTGATCTCATAAAGCTAAAGTTTTGCAGAGATCTCCAGGTCTTCTGCCCATAATCCTGTGTGCTGTCCTGGGGAATGTGCTGCTTTACATTCATGAGTGAGGAAAGCCCCAACACCATATTAGTGCGAGGGAGAAAGTAGATTACTCATGAGATGAGCTTTTTATGCTCTGTTGGACATAGGTGTGTGTGTGTACATATACCTGCATCTGTGTCTGTGTGAATTTGTCACTACCCTTCCTAAAATGCAGGGCCATGACCTCATCAGTTAGCAAACATTCATTATGGGCATTATGTGCTAGGTATTGTTCTAAGTGGAATACCCTACCCCAGATGGGATCTGATCCGGGAACAATACAATGGAACTGTCCTGGGATTGTTCTGTATATTGTAAGTCTGAGATTTGTCCTAAGATTGCAATTAGCTTTTGTGGCACCAGGGTTACTGTTGACACATGGAGTCTGAAGTTTACTAAAAAAACCTGAGCAGTCAACTTCTTGAATACAAGAGTTGGACTCACCTCACCTCCACCTCTTAGTTTCTCTGGCTTCCTTCAAAACTCAGCGCAAATTCTACCTTCTGCAGCAAGGCTTTCCTGATCCCTCAACTACTGGAGCCTTCCTATGTTATTGTAGCTTCTGTCTATTTGTCTGGAATATGTTGATTTGTATACATACTGTCCATGAGGGCAGAGACCTTTTTTTATATCCCCAACACTTAACACAGTACCTGGCATATAATCAGCACTTAATAAATGCTCATTGATTGATTGGTCATTCATTGTGTGCAGAGTACATGGCTTGAGCAGCCCTACATATGGAAGAATAGCTGGTAGTCTCTGCAGTATGAGTGGCAGGCAGGTTTCTTGGCACCTCTTAATTATGGTGGAAATTTTAATGATAGAGTCAGCCCTTTGAGTATTGGGTATTATGTCCATCCAGACAAAAAGAAAAAATATGTTGTCTAGTATGATTAATGGGCTTTCACCCAGGAACAAGGCCCTAGAGCAATGGGATACAAAGCAAATATGTTTTGATGAGAGATGATCAACAAGCATTTATTAAGTACCTACTATGTGTCAGGTACTAGAATAAGCTCAAGGAATATAAATAAAAGCATTTAGACAGTCCTTGCCTTCAAGGAATTTACATTCTAATAGGGAAAAACATAAAAGGAAGCAGAAAAGGAGAGGAGGGAGGTTGAGAGAAAAGCTTAAGGTACCTAGCTTAGAAGCATTGTAGAAAAAGTCTGGGAGAGTCAAGAATGCAACCTGGAGAAGAAGAGAGGGAAAGGGCAGGGATTATTAAGCTTTTTTCTACCATAGATCCCTCAAATGATCTGGTGAGGCCCATGGACCCTTCTCAGAAAAATGTTTTAAATTGCATAGGATTACAAAGTAAACCAATTATATTAAAATATATTTGTCAAAATAATAATATTTTTTTTAAATTCAGACTAAGAATGCATATGGTCCCTTCTAGCTCTAAACCTATGACAGTGGTTGCTTTCACCTGGTGCCTTCCCTTTGCTGCTATTACTTCCCTAATGTAAAGGCCTTCCCTGGAACCCAGAGAGTTTAGGTGGCAAGAGAGTGAAAGACCCTATTGTATGAAAGCTTCTGGTACATCTGCATTTCCTCTCTTCACAAATTATTAATCTTGTTCAAACTTTCCATCTCTCCCCCATGCTGAGCAGAGGGCTCAGCCTGTTAGTTATTGTTCAGTAGTTCTATGTGACCCCATTTGGAGTTTTCTTGGCAAAGATACTGGAGTGTTTTGCCATTTCCTTCTCCAGCTCATGTTACAGATGAGGAAACTGAGGCAAACAGTTAAGTGACTTGCTCAGGGTCACACAGGTCGTAAGTGTCTGAGGCCATATTTGAACTCAGATCTTGCTGGCTCCAGGCCCAGTGTTCTATCCACTGCACCACCTAGCTAACCCCTCGGCACATAATAGGTACCTGATAAATGTTTATTAAAGATGAAGTTGAAGGAAATAAAGATGAGCTTCAGCTTCTATAAGCTGCTGCCATCAATAGTGAAGAGACTCAAATGCTTAGAATGGTGAGTGAGATTGGTGTTTCCAAAGATCCTCTGGCCGAAAAAGTGCGTCATGGGATCACGGGTCATAGTTTGAGAGCTGGAAGGTTCCTTCAAGGTCACCTAATCTAACCCACTCATTTTACAGATAAAGAAACTAAGGCTAAACAAGATGAAATGACTTTCCAAAGATCACACAGGCAATAAACAGATGATTTGAACAGCTTCAGAGCTAGAAACATTTGAGAAGATGCTTTACAGCAATTATTTTGAGATGTCATCTGAAAGAGGTTTCAGCTTAAACCTTTTCATAGCACCCAAATTTCTCTGAATTGTCTAAAAGTACAATTCTTTCCTGGCCAGTAAGAGGACAGAGGAATCAGTTTAAGGTTTCAAAGTGGATCAGTTTCTCTTTCTTATTTTCCAGGCTTTTTTGTTTAAGACTCCTAATGAGGCTTCTTTCCATTCCCTTGGCACCAGGAAGATCCAGAAACCAAAATCCTTGAATATTCATTCATTCTGCAAAGGAAGATATGTAAACTCAGTAGCGTTAGGCAATTGACCAAAGAGATCCTACGGTCGTAGATTTAGAGCCGAGGGGAATATTAGGAGTGATCTGATTCAACCCTCTCATTTTGCAGGTGAGAGAACTAACTCAGGGCTGAAGTGACGTCCACAAAGCAGCACGTGGAAGTTGGGATTTGAACCCAGGTCCCCTGTCTCAAAATACAGAATTCTTTTTGCTACAAATAGCTATTTAATTCACAATCCTTTTCCTGCTTTGCTGATTGATCTTTCACAGGTCCTTTGACCATTATTGAAGTGGGGAATGACAAAATTAATTTGCCAATCTAGAAGGTTATAGGGACTACCAAACTAAAAATATTTTCCTGAATTTGGAGTTATTAATCCTTATTTTTTCATTTTTCAAAAGTGATACTCTCTGGTGAAATCACATTAGGATGCAAATTTTTAAAAAACTCACCTCACATTTAAAATATTTAAAAATTTATTCAACATTATTTAAATGTTACTTAAACTGCTCCATATTATCCTAAAGGTCCAAAGTCCGTAGGCTTAGGTTTGTCAGTTGCACTTTACTATGAATTAAGATAAAATCTTACTAGGTTATTTGCATTTAAAATTTTAGATCTATTTGTTAATCACAGACTTCACTACTAAAGGATGGAAGAAGAGAAGGGAAGGAGAGACCAGGCAAACTTTTCAATACTACTGACATTATTACTGACTAAGTCAAGGCAAGTAGTTAAGGTCTACCACAGAGAGATAATTACAACAGCGTAGGCACACGGACTGGCCTCTGATTTCTCTGGTATAGGGAACTCCCAGGTTAGCAGTTAGTATCTTCTCTACCAATGCAAGTTGGTACCTTCCTACAACTTATAGTCTTATGACTCAAAACTTTAGGAATGGAAAACCTAGTAATGTAAACCTAGGAATTCACATCATATCAGATTTACATGTGAACCTTGTTTTTCAGGGAAATCAACTTCTGCATAATTGACCAGTATGTGGACTATCTTGTAAATGAGCAAGGCATGAAAAACATTTTTGGTAAGTCATCTTGGAATCACAATGTTAGATGGGATCTGAAAAAAAAAATGTTAGATGGGATCTGGATCTTAGAGAGTGCCTAATCCAAACCCTTTCATTTTGGAAGGACTTACTCTGATTTCGTTGATATAGGGGTACTCCTTTACCAACATAGCTACCACCTGTTCTGCCAAGTGTAGAGTATTGCTTACAGGAGGCATTGAGTAGTTAAGGACCTGGCCAGTCACACAGCCAATATATGTTAGAATCAGGACTTGAACTCATGGTTTCCTGACATTGAGGCCAGCTCTCCTATCTGCTCTCTCCATACTTCCTCTGCCAGTCCCCATCTAGAGGGCTGACTTGCTCAAGTTCACATAATTATTTAATGGAAGATCTCAAGCTAGAGCCCAGGTTTTCCTGCCATTTCATGCAATGCTTTCTTCCCCATTAGATTATGAATCCCCTGAGAGCAACCTTTCTTTATATCCCTGGTGCCTGTTAGCATAGTACCTGACATGTAATAGATGCTTAATAACTGCTTGTTGATGGACAGACTTGACTTCATTTCCTGACACCATCTTTCAGACCATTTATGCAATAAAAGCTATGACTACATAGCACAAACTGAAGCAATTAATTTGATCAGGATAGACAAAGGCACTGCACAATTCTGGCCCCAAAGCCCTGAAGTCAAGAGCAGTTGAGCCACTGCACCTATAGGGTTTGAAGCCTGATAATGGAAAACACTACTAGTTTCTCAATATTCATTTCCTTTCCAAATGGGCTCTAACTTTGTATGCTTTCTGGTTCCTTCTTGCATTTTATTCTTGGTGGTGATTCTTCAGGAATTCAGGCAGGAGGACATGTTACTGAATCATGCCTTGGAGCCCCCTAAAGACAGGATAATCCCAAGGGCTTAATCAGGATATTTCAAAACCTGGGTTTATGGGGAATTATCCCAGGCCACATCCCCAAAAGTATAAAGGATCTTCAAGGATTTAACCCCAACCCCTAGCCATAGAGGATGGTAGGCAAGCCTGGCTTCCTCCTGCCCTGGACACACACATCCTATCCTCCTTCCTAAAACAGAGTATACTTTGAGTGTCCATGTCCCCTTGGAAAAACAAGACTCTTACATAACCCTGCCTGTTTTATCATCCCTCCAAGACTACAGTGGGCATTTCCTATTGTCATTAACTTCTTCCTCCCATGGCCATTAATGGATACCCATGAATTATAGAGAAAATGTGAGTTATACTGTTGTCCTACCGCAGCTGACCATGATAGATGATAAACAGCTCTTCCATCTATGGCAGACATCAAGGTCCTCATCAACTATATCTGCTTAGCGTATTTCTTAGTATCTAGGGGCACAGACTTAGGTCATCCTATCCCAGTCCTATATTTTACATACAATAAAAGAAGCTGACATTTATGATACTTTTAAGGCACTTTCTGAACATTTGAAACTATTTGAACTTTGTAGTTATTTGAGGGGGGCTGGTTAAACCTTGTATGTTTTCATCTGCATTGGTTGGAGGATTATATAGAGCTTCCTTGTTTCTCTGACTCAGCCTCTTGTGTGTATTTGGAACAGTGAATGGTTCAACGGGAGAAGGCCTGTCACTGAGTGTCCCAGAGAGGCGACAACTTGCAGAAGAGTGGGTGACAAAAGGGAAGAATAAGTAAGTAGCTGTCCTGGGATCAAAAGGACCATTTGCTAAGTTGTAGCATTTTTCTTTATGTGAAGCACATTTTCTTTCTCCATCAGAGATTAAGCACAAGGGTCAATTCGTTGGAAAGAATCTTCCAGCTGCTCAAAGAGATATGTGAATCACCAATGCTTTGAAGTGGAAGGTCCCTCAGAGGCCATCTGGTCCAAGCTATGCCTGACCAAGAATTCCCTTTACATCATACTTAAATGGTCCTCCAGGGTTGGCTTGAACCTCTAGTGAAAGGTCCCACTACCACCTAAGTAGCATACTCCAGTTTTGGCTAGCACTGATCTTTGGGAAGATTTTCCTTCTAAACCTAAATATGGCTCTCTGTAATTTCTACCCATTTCTTTTAGTTCTGCACACTGCATCTAGCCAGAACTGGCTCTTTGCATATGGTAATCTTCTAAATATTTGGAGATAGCTGTCATGTACCCCCTGAGCCAATCTTCATGTGGCACAGTCACCATCTTGACTGCCCTCCTGCATATTTTCTAGCTAATCAACGTCCTTCCTAAAAAGTTGCTCCCGTAACTGAACAGATGTGATCAGGCCAAGATAAAAGTAGATCACTTATGAGATGAGCTTTTTATGCTGTGGTGGGCACGCTGCATGCATACGTGTGTGTGTGTGTGTGTGAGCACAAGCACATATACCTGTGTCTGTGTCTGTATGAATTTATTACTACTCTTCCTAAAATGCAGTACCATGATTTCATCAATCAACAAACATTCATTATGGGCATTATGTGCTAGGTATTGTTCTAAGTGGAACCCTACCCCAGATGGGATCTGATCCAGGAATAATACAATGGAACTGTACTTGGACTGTTCTGTATATTGTACGTCTGAGATTTGTCCGAAGATTGCAGTTAGTTTTTGTGGCGCCAGGATTACTATTGACACATGGAGTCTGAAGTTTACTAAAAAAACTTGCAGTTGATTTCTTCACTTCCACATTCCTAGACACTGTCCTTTTCTTACTACAGCATAAGATTGCAACTAGCTTTGGCCCTGCCATATTTTATTGTTGCTTCCTACTGAGATTTTAGCACTGTAAAACTCTCAGATTTTTTTTTCAGATAAAATGCTATGAAGTTCATTTTTTTAACCCAAATGTCAGATTTTACATTTATCCCCATTAAATTAAATCTTATTCAGTTTGGCTCAATGTTCTAGATTCTTAAGAATGTTTTGAAGCCTTATCCAAGTAATCCAATGTGTGAGTTACCTCCCCCCAACAACTTTATGTCAGCTGTAAATTTGATAATCAATAAACATTTATTAAGTGCCTACTATGTGCCAGGTACAAAAAGAGATAAAAGAACAGTCCTTGCCCTCAAGGATCTTACAATCTAATCTTACCAACTACAACTATCCCCATTCGATTACAGACTCTGTGGGGGCAAGGACCATCTTTTTTCTTTTTGTATTTGTGTCCCCAGTGCTTAGCATAGTGCTTAATAAATGTTTAGTGACTGTTGACTAATTGTTGATATGCCTTCATCCAGGTGAGGCTAAAAGTGTTAAGCAGACAAGGCCAAGTACAAATACCTGAAACACTCCACAAAGACCTCCTTCCAAGCTGACTTTGAACTATGAGTTCAAATCCCTCGAGCTGACCTAGGATCCTCTAATGATCCCTTCATTCAGTCAACTCTGAATCTAGTCACCTGTCCTATTATCTAGGCTGGAGGCTCTCCATCCTTTATACAAGCACAGCAAGTGTCATTTTCATTTTTATCTGCAGCACTCCCTTCATCTACCAATCTAATCATCCTATAAAAATAAATTTTTAAAAAGAGTGCAGGTAATTCGACCTGTTCATGATGAATCTAGGTAATCATTACTTCTTTCTGGATGTTTGCTTAACATCTTTTTGGAAATACATTATAATTGCGTAGATTTTCAGACTTTATTTGATGTATTGATCAGTTAAGATGATTTTTATCCCTCTTGTTTTTCTTTTTCTTTTTTTGTATTTAAAAAATATTATTTATTATGGGATGGCTCTCTGGGAGGAGGAGGAGGAAGAGGAAGAAGAGATATGCTGGGGGAAGCTGTGGTGTAAAAAAAAAACTAAAGTACATCAATAAAAACTTAATTTAAAATAGGAAAAAAGAAAAAGAATGCATTATAAAATTTCATAAGGAATTGTCATTTAGAAATCACCCTGAAGACTGCAGTCTATATTCTCTTACCTTTTAAAAACTGGGGTAGCTTTGCCCTTCACCAGTATCTCTTACTTCTCCACAATTTCTTAAAGCTCTCTGATAATGGCTCAGTAATCACATCTACCAGTTCTTTCAGTATTGTGGTATGTAGTTCATCTGGGCCTACTGGCTTAAATTCACCAAGGGCAGCTAGGTATTCTTTCCCTATCTCCCTACTGTCTTGGGTTTCAGTTCCCTAATAGTCATCATTGTTCTATCCTTTCTAATCCAAAAATCATTCTCTTTGGCAGAGAAAATAAACGATTTGAGTCCTTTTGCTGTCTCTCTCCTAACACTCATTATCCCCAACAGCCCTGGCCCTTCTTTGATCTTCCTCTTTTCTCCACAAGAGTAACCCCCAAACCACATTTTGTTGTCTTTTGAATTCCTAGCCAACCTCAGTTCATTGATTCCACCTGGTTTAGCATTCTTGACGCTTCTCGAAGCTTCTCATCTGCATGTCTTTAAAAAAAAATCTAAGTGGTTAACTATTTCCGTCTTTTTTTTCATTATATCAGTCTCTTTAAATAACTCCTCTTTTTCTTCCGCATTGAGATTGCTTTTCTTTTTGCCTTCAGAATTACATCCTTGAGGGCTTCCCATCCCTCCTGCTCTGATTTTCTTTGTAAATGTTACGGCAAAGGATCCGACCTGTCCTTTCTCAGAGCCTTCAACATTTCTTCCCCCAAATCTAGGGTATATGTCAAACCATCATGACTGCCTTTCTTTTCCTTTATCATAAAGTCCAAGACAGAGTAGTCACTGCCTGCCAAGGTGCTATTTCAGCTACTGGTTACCCCTTTTAGTGAGAACTGGCCCCAGAATAGCAACTCTCTTGGTTATTTCCCTGGCCCTTTGAAGGATGACATGGTCCTTACAGCAAGGCGAGAAATGAGTAGCTGCTCTGCTTTTGACTCTGAAGGCTAACTGAAGTCCCAGCCAGTATCATGTTGGGCTTGATTTTTGCTTCCACTTACTGGTTCAGTAGGAGATCGTTGGATGGGAGGAGAAGGATTAGAATAGAAGGAGAATAAGAACAATTCGCATTTATATGGAGCCTTAAGGTCTGCGAAGCATTTTCCTCACAATAATCCCCATGAGGTTGCACACATATTCCCATTTTGCAGATGAGGGAAGTGAAGCGTTGTAAAGTTAACTGACTTGTTCATGCTCACCTGGCCAGCAGATGTCTGAGGCAGGATTGGAACCTAGTTTTCCTGATATTAAGTATTCTTTCCAGTACTCCAAGCTGCTTTTCAAAGAAGCAGCATGGTAGAGTGGTAATCAATCAATTAAGAAGCCTTCATTAAACCCTTACTGTGTATGGGGCACATTGCTAGTCCCTGCTCTAAACTCCACTTCTGACATTTACTACCTGTATGACCTTGGGCATGTCGCTAAACTTCCTTGGCCTCAGATTCCTGCTCTGTAACATGAGGAGTTGGATGTCCTCTGAGGGCCCTTCTAGCTGCAACCCTAGGATTCAATGAAGGAAATATGAAAAACATTCAAAAGATTTAGAAATTGTGAAGAGGCCCAGAGATCAAATTTAGGGGAGGGGAAATTGAGAGAACTAAAGAGAAATTGAAAGAGGAGGACTCTCAGGGCAAAGGAGGTGGAAATGAAGAGATCCAGTTAAAGGAAAAGGAGAACAGGAGAAAGGACTTGAAGGATGTGACCAGAAGGTGGGACAGGAGGAAGATGAGGACCTAGAAAAAAAGGAAGAGGAAGAAGGTGGTTTAACCAGGGAAGGGAAGTTAGATACGCCTGTCAGGGTGCTAGTGAGGGCTAAAGGGGAGCACACCTCCGGAGCTGAAGATGGTCTCTTTAGGGAGCCTGGTTCAGGAAAAGGTTAGGTCCAAAAACAGTCCATCAGTCAACGAGCATTTTTTAAGCACCAGCTGTATGCCAGGCACTGTGCTAAGCATTGGGGATACAAAAACAAAGAAGTTCCTGACTTCAAGGAGCTTCCATTCTGTTGGAGAAGACAACAGTTACACGTAGAATTATATGTAAAATCATTGCGAAGTGTTTTAGGGGGTCAGGAGAGGCAGCTGGGGAGGGGGAGAGCAAGAAAGGTCTCATGTGGGAGATGGCCCCTGAGCTGAGCTTTAAAGGAAACAAAGGACACTTAAGAGGTAGAGGTGAATTGGGAGTACCCCCCAGCCACAAGAGACACGTGCAGGGGCACAATGGAGGGTAATGGTTGAGGAGCAGCAAATAGGCCAGTTTGGCTAAACTGAAGAATATGTGAAGGGAGGGGCAGCTAGGTGGCACAGTAGATAGACCACCGGCCCTGAAGTCAGGAGGACCTGAGTTCAAATCCAGCACTTCCTAGTCGTGTGACCCTGGGCAAGTCACTTAAACCCAATTGCCCCCCAAAAAAAAAAAAGAATATGTGAAGGGGGCAGATATGCCCAGAAAGGTAGGTTGGGCCCAGGCTGTTGTAAAGGGGCTTTCAATGCCAGACAGAAGAGTTTGCATTTTATCCTAGAAATAATAAGAAGCCATTGGAGTTTCTTCAGCAAAGGAGGAGCCAAAGAGAAGCACAAAAGTGTTATCTGGGTAAAGCCCTGACTGTCCTGGGCCATTCACTCACTAAACCTTCTGTCTCAGGATTATCCTAGGGGCTTCCTAGGGGCCATCTCATTTACCTTTAGGACCCTATCTCTCTCCACAGTGGTATTCTCAGGGCTTTTTCACTAACTTTATCCCACACTCAAGGATGTCTGCTGTCTGACCTAATCTCAATGGCCGT